CCTTCTGCGCAAAATCACAGCAACAACAGCATCAACAGCAACAGCGACAATAACAACAAGCCGAAGGGAGGGGGGACGACACCATCAACACGACCGCCACATGGATAGCATCATTGGATCAACCCCCAAGTTGTACAGTATTATTATGTGCCTGCGCTGGCCGAGCATGAATTGTGGCTGGCTCTTCCCGGCTTGCCACTTTGTGGTCTCCTTTTGACAAAGAGTCTGAGGTCTGTGCTGGCCCAACCAGAAGTTCTGGAAGCACCAATTTCCTCGCACCGGTTTTTTTCATCTATCTATAAAATTGAATTTATTCATTTAGTTTATCTCTCATGATGTACTATCCGTGCTCAAGGAGAGAGAGAGTATTACGCCGTTGAAAAGGTCATGATCAATGCTGATATTAATGCTGGGAACAGTATCACTCCGTAGCTCTCTCGTCATCTTTCCGAGTCTACGGAGTAACAGCTGTCGTCCTCTTGCTGTTATATGTCATTACGAGGGCAATAACGCCACTCCGGAATTTTCTGATTACTCTCGATAAAGAGACTCTCCCACGGTTCCAGACCGTCCTTCGAGTTGGGAAAGAGGAGAATAAAAGAAACTGCCCGACACAATTGCGGAGTTCCCTCTCCTGCGTGCCCGTCATTGCTGTCAAGGGCCCTCTTCCCACCCTTGCTCCCGGGGAGCACGAGCCGTTGCGAGGGGACCGTGCCTTGTCTACATGTGTACTCGTACGAGGGTATTTGAGAATTTGTGTTCTTGTAATTGTATATTGCACGCGCCCCCTGCCCATACAAGAAACAGAAAAAGAGAGAGAGCTTAACAGGATGTCCCCGCCCATACGACGTAATACCTGTATGGATCTGTAGATAAAAATCTTGGTTACGAGAGGAGAGATATTATTAGCAGTCAGTGCTACATATAGCCCATAGGTGATGCACGTAACAGTCAATAGACACAAGGCGGCCGACGAGAGTTTCTGTTACTGGTACGGTAGAATGTGGTATTATGGGCCGTCTGGTCTGCCTAGGTGGAACATGGTCTAATTTGTTCTTACTACGTCGTGACTTGGTGCTGTTGGCCCCGATCTCTGTCAACGTAGGATAGGTAGCCGTAGTCGTACTTGCACAAGCAGGTGTAATGATGCGAGCATCATGCTTTCTTTTTCTTTTTCTCCTTTTTCTTTTTATCCTCCCGTCTATCAATCCTAACGGGCGGTGTGCTCTGCGCACGCTTGCTGGCGTGGATGAGATTCATCTGGTGGTTCTACCATCATCCCTGCTACCACGAGTATTACCTTGTGTGTACGGAGTACAGCGAGTACTCGCCGTACCCATATGAACAATACTCCGTAGTCCGACGAGGGATGGATGGCCAGCTACTTACCTAGACAGACAGTCTCTCCGAACAGCAATAAATGAGTGGATCCCTAATAGTTGGCTGATAATATAGCAGGCACATTCATCGCGTAAACTTGCCGGATGATTGTACAGGATGATAGTACTCGTAGATGATGAGTCTCTTTTATTTCCTTTCTTCCTCTTCTCTTCATTTGCAATACGTCTGTATCAATAATAATCTGTACACGGTCAACGCTTTCTACGGTTGAAATTCAAATGAGATCAATCGCACTCGTAGTCGTCTCCCTATGAACGGAATCCGGTATTGAGAAATAACAGTGAGGAGTAGTTAATTTAGGAGTGAACCACTTTGCTGCCGCTCTCCCCTCCTCCACGCCCCCCCCCTTCCCCTCGCGTCAACTAACCGGTTATTGCAAGCATGAACAGTACGATACCTGTACGCCTGCGTATATTGCACGACTCGGTTGATAGTATCAATATATGTTGGTGACACAGGACGGGACAGGAAAAAGCAAGGAAAGTGTAGAGAACAAAATGAAACTGCTAGAGATTCGGGCAGTTGGGGGGTACCGTCGTCGATACTACCTGTAGCACGGAGCTGCTCCGTGCATGTGTAAGATGATTCCGCACATGGCGACAATCACCTTCTTCCCTATCCACAGCTAACAGACATAGTGTACGGGTACGTGCCAGAGAAGAGCAAGGTGAAATGTCGCTTGACATTCCGGGGGACGAGACATGAAACGGGGAATGGGCGGACATCGGCATGCAGGAACGGCTAGACCCATGGTCAGTCGTCCTTGCCTGGCTGGACTCGTACTCGTAGAGTGCTTTCCCCCTTCCTCCTTCCTTTCTTCTCCTGCTGTTCTTATGTGCCAAGGTATACTCGTATATGTATTATTGCATTATTGACCGTGCAATACATGTATCGCTCGATGGTTCGGACATGCAAGTATGTAATTACAGAGTAAATGACGACCCCATATTCGTAGAGGGAATGGTTCGTACGGATAAGAACATCGATACCTTGAGAAGGGTATCTATGAGGCGAACCGTACCTGCCGAATACACGGCGTACCGAGTGCGGTGCAGCGTAAGAGCTGCTCGTACTCTCGTACTCTGGTACGTACAGCTCCATGTGGTAGCCGTTGAGATATGGGCTATCCACAATGCCCGATGAGGGCTCCACCGGCGAGCGCAAACGAGGGTCGAGGGCCTTGGCTCTGGGAGGAGAAGAGATCCAGTTTTTCTATTTTTTTTCTTCTATTTTTTTCTCTGCAATTCTTGTTATTCAGTGTATTACATGTATTTACTCGTGGTGGTATGGATACTCTCCCTGTGCAAAGCACTGCATATACATGTACTACTCGTAATCTGTACATGCTAAATAATAGCAGTACCTGTACGGAGTAATACTAGTATTTATCATATAGTAAGACAGAGTTGTACGACATGGTCTGATGTTATACCATTGTTGACTGCTTCCGAGTATTAATATCACTACTGCTAGAGTGCTATTACTCAGCATAGCAGTAGAACGTAGTAGCAAATGTTCAAGAGTGTTGAGCAGCATCGGCTTATGATTCTAAGTCGTTAACATGCGGGTGGCACTTGTGTGTTGTATTACATGTAGATAGTATTATATGTGTAGGTAGTATTACTCCGTAGTAGTAGCAGCCAGAATCGATGCCATCCTGGACCAGCGAAAAAAATTAAAATATAAAAACTAGAAAAAAAGAAGAAAAAAAAACCAATCGCGGTGCCCACAGCTGTCCTGCACAGGCTGCATCTGCATTTTGCCTGTGCTTGTACCTGTCCTCCCGCGCTTGCGTGAGTCGCCAGGCACGTCGAAGCACCTGTAAATGTTACGTCGTACCTATAACAGCGGGACTTGGGTGGGTTGGTGGGCGAGTAGGTGGGTGGGTTCGATTTGATGGCTCCCAGGACCCGTCCAGGGCCTGTCCAGGGGTAAAGAGGGGGGACTTTTCCTTGTACTTGCAGGCGCCCCTTGTCCTGGGGGTGGCTGGGATGTACAAATATGTACCTTATATATACACCATTCGCCCACTGATATACGAGTACTCGAATGTACTGTCGCTGCACTCCATCTATAGGTACTCCATCTCATGCAAGAGGGCATTCGGTAGGCCACTGGTGGAATCTCTTTACCTCTTCCTCTGTGTCTCTCTCGCTCTTTCCCACTCTCACTCTCCCCCCTGTCATACTCGTACCCAGGTACCCTTCCTCTCTCTCTTCCTCCGTCCTCCCTCTCTCAGCACCGCCAGCTTCTGTCCCGTCCTGTCCTATCCCATCCATCCTCTCCACCCTCTCTCTCTTTGCACCCCGGTCCTTCTCCCATCCACTTTTCGGCTCGCTTGCTCGCGGGCCTCACACCTCTCTCTCTTTTTCTTCCACCCCC